TGTAATATATATATATATACACATATTATATGTACATAAAATAACGTACAATATATGTATATGCATATAATATATACGTTAGTTTCATACTTTAGTTTGTACAAAATGTTCGAACATTATAAACGTGTAGAATACGTATATTATTAGCAGCGTAGAATGCGTATTCGAAAAACTATTCGAATACCAAAACGAATCATCAATTGAAAATAGAAACAAAAAAAAACAAAAAGAAAAGAAAACATTTAGCCCCGGTTGGTAAAGGGTCGGCCCACGTGGCCAGGCCAGGAGGCCTCTTTAGCCTCGGTTGGTATTACCAACTAGACGTGAAACCGGGACTAAATGAGGAGGCCTTTAATCCTAAATTCGTGCTCAGCTTGTTTCTGTACTAATGGGTGTTTATGCCATTGTAGCAACTAAGAGTGTACTCTATGACCTATAATATGTTATTTGATAAAATAAAAAGGAAAAATGACAAAAAGTTAAAATAGGCGTTCGAACTTAACACATGGATAAAAATTTACAGCAACTAATAAGATAAATGTAACGACCCTAAACCTGAATTTGTTAAAAATTTTGGCCCTGAATCCACCTCTTAATCAAGTCCGACTGATCTCTTGAAGGTAGGGTAGATAGAAGTGACGATGATAGTACACTACGATAAAGGGAGAGGGCGGCCAGCAGCAAGGATGATTAGTCAAATTTTTTAGCATGTCCCGTGGAGTGACACCTCCACACTACATGGATGTACATAGCTAGACACCGTGATGCAAGCTAGTAGCTGAAGTTAGCAGAGGAGAGCCAGGCACGGCAAGCTCATCTATCACTTCATCAGTGCGTGCCCCACCATTACTTTCACGCGCTTGTCCGATTGCCTCATCTGGCTCCAACACGATGTGCTCCCTGAGATTTCTCCTGAGCCACCAAGGGCGGTGAGGCGTGGCACTTGGCAGCGCATGACAAGATGTTTGCCTGAGCCTGTGATACTGCCACCACACGGCCGGTGCCGTGCCTGGAAACTGCCTGCAAAGAGAAAGAGCTAGCTCAGCGATCTGATGCCTGCTTACGTTACAGCTTCCAAGCCAATGAAGGCGAAGCGCCACCCTTAATTGACTCACTTTTCCTGCACTGTCATCAGCTGAAGTAGTACTACCTCCGTCCTTATAAGAAGGCAACTATGACTTACAAAAGTGATTCATGTTTAACTAAGTTTTTAATGAATAATATTCACAGTTATGCATTTAAATTAATTTATTATAAAAATATATTTCATAATTAATCCGATGATATTTATTTGGTATTATAAACATGGATATTTTTTTATCTATAATTGATCAAACTTAAGATAGTAAAACGTGACACTGTGCTTGAATTGCATTTTTTTTGAGACGGAGACGGTAGCTTTCTATGCTTGATGGTACTGTAGATGTTATCTCAGCTAGATGACCATGATAACAAGCGACTCAAGACCAGGGCCGCCGGACCTGCTGCCGAACAAGTCTGTGGACGACCAATCAGCGGCTGCAATTTTGGACTCTTGCTAGCTTCGGAGCGATGACGGATGACTTTGGCAGGTAAGGCCAGGACTCTTGAGATTTCCCTGTGTTTGTGTCAGTCACATGCATTAGGATTAAGCTAGGATTGTGATTGTCCACTCCAGCTGGGCACTAACCCACGCCGTTGTCGCCATCCTCATGCACTAACCCACGCCGTTGTCGCCATCCTATAGGCCCCGTTCGCTTTGCTGAAAAAATAAATCGAAACATTGTTCCGGCTAATTTGTTGTGAGAGAAAAACTGTTCCAACTAAAAAAACAAGCTGAAAAAGACGGATTAGAAGAGAAGCGAACGGGGCTACCAAGCTTAGCTATATACATGTACTCCAATGTGCATTGACTAAGCTAGCTTTGGTTTTTTCAGTGTTGGTCATTAGGGGCAGTTTATCTGCTGCTTACATGCATGCATATATATATATAGGTTATTATTAGTTTAATATGTAGTTATGTACTGCTGCCTTCGTTACAAAGCAAATAACCTATCTTTATCCTGAGTTATACTGTACTTCTCAAATTTTGACAAAAATTTAAAAATATATATATCAGCATTTAAATGTACTATCAAGCCATATTTCTCGAAGAATTTAATAAAACTAATATGGTGTTATAGATGTTTGTGTATTTTCAGTAAACTTAGTTAAAACTAAAGGACAGAGGAAGTACGCTTGACAGTGAAAATCGTTTCACAAACGGCTTACTACATACTGATGAGATGAACATAATAACTTACTGTTCATTCCAGGCGCTTGAAGTGATTTTTCGACAAATCAATTTGTTACTGAGGCAATAGGCTATTACAGCAATAATCATTATTTCCAGTGATTCCCTCCTCGTTTATAATAACCGGCATGAACGCTATTTATACACTAGGATTGATCAGTACTGCAAATGAATGAGAGCCACTAAATGTTGCTCTTATTAATTTATTGCGCAAAAGAAATGGTTAGCTTGCATTGGTGCGGTGCTAGTGCTAACATCTAGTTTCCTAACTGGGAGCTACAAGGGCTTCATGTGAGACTACTTTCTTGCTAACCACTCAAGACTCAATAGAAGATGATAGACCAGCTCAGCTCTCGATCGGTCTATCGTTTACTGCTTTATTTTGTTGGTGATGATGGATCGCCATTAGTCTGTACTTATCATCGCTGCCATGGCAAATCACCTTTTCAGAAAGGAAAGACAAAAGTCTTGGTAGCTACCTTCCTGCGACAGGGCACATGTTAACCTTTGTCCCGTTCGATTAGCTGATAAGCTATGGCTGAAAGTATTGTTAGCTAATTTATCGTGAGAGAAAAATACTATTTGTTGACTGAAAAAATATGACTTATAAGGTAAGTGAACAGGACGCATGTCTGTTAACGTCAAATTTCCACTGTTTATACATGTCCCCACGAATTGCATTGGCAGGTGTTCCGATATGGCACATCGTCCTCGATGCGTGCAGGACGAGAACTTGTTCAGAAAGAGCATGCAAGCGCTTTGCGCGTGTGAACACTCGTGTAGTTTTTTTTCGTGTTGTCGGTGTTTTCCCCAACAAGTAAATTTATATTTTAAATTTATATTTGATAGTCTGCTCGGATAGTAGAGGGCATAAGGGTTTATACTGGTTCAGCTCCATGTCGCGGTCCTATTCGTCACTGGCGCCATGCGTTGACGTCATCTACCGTTCATGGAGTTTCACTCCATCTCAGCAGACGTCGTGGTGAACTGACGCGCCTATCAACGTCCGTACGAGGATTAGGCATAACAGCACCGGCACGCCCGACACTGTTCTTGATGTGAATCCCCATGTATGGCCCGTCATGGCTATGGGTTACATCGAGGCATGCCAGCCTCTTCCCTGGGGTCAGAGTTTTGACTCAGGCCCATACGCTTGGACCTGGAGTGGTTGGCGGCGGTATGGGTCCCCGTCGGACGAGACGGAACCCGCGTCCTCGAGGTCGGGCGAGACGGAGCCCACAACCTTGGGCGAGACGGAAATCGCATCTTTGGGGTCGGACGAGACGAGCCCGCACCCAAGGGGTCAGACGAGACAGAACCCGCGGCCTTGAGGTCGGGCGAGACGGAGCCTCGGCCTCGAGGTCGGGTGAGACGGAGCCCGTGGCCTTGGGCGAGACGGAACCCGTGTCCTTGGGGTCGGACGAGATAGAGTCCGCACCCAAGGGGTCGGCGAGACGGAGCCCACGGCCTCGAGGTCGGACGAGAAGGAGCCCATGACCTTAGGGTCGGACGAGATCTTTTAATACGTCTCGAGCCATCCAGAGAAGTCAGCGTGGATGCTAACTTTTAATACATGCATGTTGCTGCGTGTTAGGTAAACATCTCGTCATCGACGGATCGACGTGTCGACGCATGCATGGTATGGTACCTGCAGCATTCCAGCGCAAGTGATCGATGTCTTCTAGTAGGTCGATCGTGTCGCAAGTCCTAACTACCGATGGATCGGCCGAATGCTGCAAGCAATGCAAGAGCCCCGGCCAGTGCGTTTTCCATTCAGAGTTGGAGAGCTAGCAAAGACCCTTGCAGTAAGGCAAACCAAGTTCTTCCAAGAAGAGAGCTACTAACTAACTAGCCACAACTTTGCCAAAGACCCAAGCAAAGGCAATAACAGCACCTATAAACAGGCACAGCCGGTAGACTCAGTTTCTTGGTGAGTCTTGTGTCCTATATATATTCAAATACAAATTTAGCTGATGTTTAACCTTTTTTTTACAAGGCCCCCAAAACGTAAAGTGAAAAAAATACAAATAGAGTACATTGCACTGGATAGAATGAACAAATAGAGAGATACGTACGGTTCATTTTATAGTTCCAAGTTCAATATTTTAACTCTGTGGAGAAGGGAGAACCATATGCATAGAGAGAGCACACAATTATATATGGTCTAATTGTCCATGCAGGATAGAGATGCAGAGATAGATAAATGATACGTACCATATATATGGAATGGTCTAGCTATATATAGATCTAAGATTAGTTATTGCATGAATTATATATAGACCAGCTATATATACATACGTACTAGTCAGAGCTTAAAGCAGATGATCAAAGAGAAGACTAGTAGCTAGAGCGAATTAGCTAATACGAATTGCGCCGGATCGGCCGGCCTAAGAAGGAGATGAACTGGACGTACGCGCGCCGGCAGATGCGGCGGCACGCAACAACTAATCAACAAGCTAAGAAGCATGCGAGCATCTGATCAGAGCCTGAGAGACAAGTCGATCTCCTCCCCGTTCCGGCCGTGGGCGTGGCCGACGCCGAGGCCGAGGCGGCCACAGCCGCCATCAGCGGCGGCCGTGTCAGCACCCCAGCCCATCACGACGCCCGGCGGTGGCGCCGCTTGCTGCGCCGTGGCGTCGTCCTCCCCCGCGGGCCGCGTGGCGTCGTAGTAGTACGTGGTCGTCGGCGCGAGCTCGCCCCTCCTGTTGCTGCTTTCCGGCGCCGCGGCATGGAAGACGACGGCCGGGGACGACGGTGGCGGCGCGGCGGCGAGGGTGTCCCGGCTACGCTTCGCGAGGGTGCGCTCGAGCTTGTGCGCGTTCTGGTGGCCGCCCAGCGCCTGGGAGCTGTGGAACTTGCGGTGGCAGTAGTTGCACGAGAAGGCCTCCCCAGGCGGTGGTCGCCGGTGACGGCCCCGGGGGCGGGCACGGCGGCGGAGCGATGGAGCGGAGATGGGTCCAGGCACAGGTCGAGGCTGACGCCATGAACGTGCGACGTCGGCGCGTTCTCCATCGATCGAAGAAAAAAATGGAACTTTTGTTTCACAAGTGCGAGAAGTGATGAGAGGCGTGATGAGAGCGTGTTTTCAGGGTAGTACTAGAAGCCAAGAGGGCGAGAATGCAGTGGCTTGAGCGGGGTATATAAAGAGAGGTGCCGGAACTGGATGGGCTGTACGCTGGCCGGAAGCCCGGAACACGCACGTCTTCGGCGACTAATTTCTTCTACATACACTAGAAAAATTGGAGGAGAATATGCAACTCCCAAGTGATGCCTCCCTAAGTTAAGTGTGGCATGTGGAAAATTTGTAGGGTGTTTGCTCTGAGAAAATGACCCCGCTCTGAGATGGTATGTCATGAGTGCTTTTATTAGCTTTAAAAAAAAGATAACGATGGGTTTCTAGTGGTGGAACGTGTTCATTCGGGTTTAAGTCCTCGACTTGACATGGGTATTCGTATTTTCTTGGATTTATTCTAAGATTTAAGGGCGTTATGTTTTCAATGGTAGGCGACGTCCCCGTCTACAACGAGGCGCCTGTGGTGACTTCGTGAATCTCGTGAATCTGCCGGCTCAATCGCGGAGGTGCTCATAAGGGTAGAGTTTGTGTACAATATGTTCATAGATGTGAGTGTGTATGCGTGTTGTGGGCGTCTACGTTGTACTGTGTAATTTTGAAAAAAAAACTTATTACATTTCACAAACAAACATCTTATTAATTTTAACTACCTAGGTGTCCGCTATCACGCCGCTAGTATACGGTAGCCCAAATTAAACTTAGTTATTCTCGTCCGTTACACTCTCGTGTTCTTACTCTCTTACAGCGTGGCATCGGCCTTTCTTGGCATTATTTGTTGTCAGAAATAATGTTTCCACCGCCGTGACTTGCCGGTAATTTTTTTTATTCATGCGTGCTGCATCATAAATAATGGCTTCTTAACTATTTTTGGTCGGCTTGACACTAGGCTACACCTCGTTAGGGATACAAACATATTTATCCACAGAGCCGCAAATAGCTTATTTGCAGGTTTGTGGACAAACACGCTTCTATCCGATCCCTACAGCTCGTTATCAACATTTTAGGCTGCATTTTGTTTCTTCGCAAGTTGACGCTATAATCTTGAGGTATGGGATTAAAAAGCCTGGTTGTTACCGATGTTGGTACTCGCATGGATTGCTCCGCCCACCCCATCTGCATTTTTCTAGTAAGTCATTCACCGTTATATTGGGTACCTAGTCTGAGCTCCTCTCCCATTTCAACGCCATAACATTTGTTTTTTCCTCCACATTATGGATATATTGATCAGTCTTGTATCGGATTTTTTTTCTTATTTACGTTTTCTCTTTACTTTTGGTTTCTTTATACATATCTTATCAATAATTGTTTCTACTTTATTTCTTATATATCTATGTCTATATAATATGAAAATTTCTCTCCCCTCAACTTTCGTCCTTCACTTCCCGGATTCCATCTATCCCCCGCTCCCTCGAACATAAGGGGCATGTCTGATTTTATTAAAAAAAAAGTAGCACGTAATTGGTATTATGTCTAGTCCATGACTCACCATGATCTATGCTTATATGGGTTAGAATAATACGTGTCTGGTTACTATGTACAATCTGATTCCAAAATGCATTGAATTGCGCAAATTGTACATTTCGTTGCAATGCACGATCTGCTAGTTTTATATCAAGAATGGTGCATTTATCAATATATATGTGTATGGTTTTTATATAATTTTAGGCCTTGGGAGCAAACCAATAAACTTCTTTTGTTGGTCAAATATCAAGATAATGCTACGGATGTTTTTGATGAAACTATATGCGTTGTCACTTGTCAGCATTACACTCGTGTTGATCCGTACGCGCGTTGTTCTGTTCCATATATAGACGCACCGCACACAGTCAAAAATGTGAAGCTACCGCTGAATCTGAAGCGCATCCCATCCATCCATGGAAGCACAGCACTGCTGATGCACTGCGCGGAGTGGAGGGTGGGCCGTGGGTGGGGAAGACGACGAGGACGAGGACCGATGGGCAGGGAGGCCCACCACGCAGTCAAGTCGTTGCGTGTACAGTACACATCGACAGGCAAAAGGGCCGCCCGGGTAGTGATGGCGTGGTGAACAGTGCAACACGCGCATGTGCGTGAATCCAGTACACGATGCGGCAACGCGATTGCTGCTGTGTCGACAGCCGGCTCGATCTCATCTCCCTCAGATATTCTCCGTTCAGGTGTGGGGGTCTCAACTCTCAACTATGCCTCCCGCTGAGAAAGACCACGCCTTGCATGAGATCGTCCGCGCCGCGCCCGCTGAGCCACGCCCGGCTGTCCGCGCCGCACCGCGCCTGCCCGTCGACCCCATCCTCCTGCTCCCGGCGCACTGCGACCTTGTCGTCGATCTTGTTGTCCGCGTGGCAGGTCTGCTCCGCCTGCGCGCGTGATCCCAGCCCCTGCTCCGGCGTCCACGAGACGGCCCCTCCCGTCGGCCGCCCGATCCCTGCCGCCGGCCGTTCCATTGCTGCCGCTGGCCCTCGAAGTGCCGAGGGCAGACCTTGGAAAGGGACGAGGGGAGGGGCTGGTGTCCGGCTACAAGGCCGCAGCACCCGCCATGGCCGGCAAGTTCGGCTAGTGCTTTTCGCCTTCAACGCCGCTTGCTCTGTTTGTTGCATTCGTCGGAACGGTAAAATTTATGAATATGCAATGTAGGTACTTAGTTAGCTTGAATTATAGCTCTAGTTTGATTTGGTACTTACTAGTAAATGTGATGACGTATGTAGTTGATTTACTTACTGAGATAGGTATGTAGATAGATACATACATAGATACATATGTACATAGATATAATTAGATAGCTAGTTGTATATTTAGTTATTTAGGTAGGATTTAGCTATTTAGTTACTAGATTATTTCTATATACTTAGTTATTAACTTATTAACTTAGGTTGTAGTTAGTTAGTATGTATTAGATAGGTACTATATGAAACTATTTTGGACTAAACGATCTGTGTTTGAATTTATGTATGAACTAATAGATGGACAACCTAGTGAGCATATATCATGGAGGCACCGTGGAAAGAGATCGCTATGGATATGTTGAGTTTGTTGATATAAAAAGCGTGCATGTGTTATTCAATGAGAAGCCTTTATTTAGTGAGTTGGTTGCAAGAGCTCGGAAGGAGCTACATTGCCATGGAGATGATGGCATCACAATTGAGGGTGTACTTCACCTAGGTTCCCCTCTCAACATCCTAAGGAAGATGGTCCCAATTGGGTGTGCGGATCAGTGGGAGAACTATGTGAGATCGGCTATGAAGAGCCAGTTCCAAAGTTTGGATGTGGTTGTGCGTCGGGTGGTACTTGATCGCATCCCTCATGGGTTTTCCTCATAAATGGGTCAGCAGGCACACTTTGACCCTCCCGTCCCGGAACCTGATATGGATGTGGAGGTTGTATCTATGGCTCCCGATGATCAATCTGCCCCCAATGAGGTTGTTGGAGATGCTTGTCGGACTCATGATGTTGTGGCAGATCCTCCTCATGAGATCCCTTTGACACAGAATTATCCGAGCAAGTGTCTTATCCGCATCGTTATTGGGAGCTTACCCCCTTCCTTACATCCATTTTTCTCATTCTTTCCTCATATTTCTACTTATGTTGCAGGAGACATTCCTGACAATGTGGATGTGCCCCCTATTGCTGTGCAAGTGCCCTACGGAGATGGACTCTGTGGCTCCAATAGTGTTGAAATTATGAATGATTCGGAGCCATATGAGATGGCAAGGGCTCTTGATTCTGATGATGATCGTCCTGTTGGAGAGCTGACGGAGAGTGACGTTGAGATGTTGAGCCGTATGTTTCCTAGCCGCCGTGATCCAAAAGTTCACGAGTTCAGCGATCTTGCTCATTCGGATCAGGCGTGTGCAGAACGACGTGATGATGAGCTGCTAAAAGCTCCTGAGGCCGGCCCTAACATGGTAATTTAGAAGGATAGGGTATTCAAGGACCCCCTGCATTGAAGAGGTGGTTGCAGGCGTTTGCAGTGATACGAAAGAGACCTTACAAGGTCTTGCATTCATATGCAGAGTGCCGATACACAGTTGTGAGCGACAAGGAACGCTGCCCATGGAGGGTTTGTGCAAGGAAGCAAAAGGTCACCGGAAAGTGAAAGATCACAAAAGTTGTCGGGCTACACAATTGTGCTGACCATGTGCTCACACTGAAGCATCGGTAGTTGACATCTACCCTCATTGCCAAGCAATTGATGGGAATATTGCAGGAAGAACCCAACATGAAGGTTAGGATAATTATTAGGACCGTTGAGGCGTTGTATGGAGGTTATGTGATAACTTATGGTAAAGCTTGGAGGGCTAAGTAGTAGCATGGAAAATGATATATGGGGATTGGGAGGATGGGTATGAGCAGCTGCCAGTACTTTTCAATGCAATCAAAGCGGTGAATCTAGGCATGCATTATGAGTACATCCCAAAACCAAATGCATGGAAGGATGAGAGGTAGATATTCTTTCGTGCTTTCTAGCGCTTCCCTTAGTGTGTCGAGGCCTTTAGGCACTACCTCCCTGTCTTCTCCATTGATGGTGTGTTCTTGATTGGTAAATACCAGGGCACACTTCTTATAGCCATATCCTATGACGCGAACAACAAGTTGGTTCCTTTGGCATTTGCTTTGGTTGAGAAGGAGAATAATGATAGTTGGGGATGGTTCTTGAGGCTAGTCCGGATACATATGGTTGAGCCTAGCAGAGAGGTTGGCGTCATATCTGATAGGCACCAAGGCATACTTAATGCCGTGCGAGAGCAGATAGAGGGGTATGCACCTTTGCACCAACGTTGGTGTACTCGGCACCTTGCCGAGAATCTACTCCGGAAGGATGGTGTGAAGGATAACTTTGATCTGTTCCAGGAGGCTGCTCGACAACTTGAGGATAAGTACTTTCACAAAAAGTTGGAGCAGGTCAGAACTGCATCAAA